ATCCCTAATTTTGATCTAGTGATCAGAGGGAATTCAGGCAGTTTCAAGTGCCAAGTGTAAAATAAAACTAATATTTGAATGTTTACAACAATAGTTATAATATTCATATTTCTAGTATCAATTAACTACTTATATTAAGGTTGTGGTGATCAATTATAGACCATTGTCATTGTTAGTAGCCTATATAATCACCTTACTCTAATTACTAATTAATTTTTGATCACTCCACACTAATGAGTTTATATTCAACATTTTGGCTGCTTATAATATTGTTGTGTCAGCAAAGTCACATGACTAGTGTCACGCCACGTTTCTAGAACTATCCTGTACTTTGGCGAATGCTCTAGCATTTACTAGATATAGGGTAATCTGGTATATAAAAAGGGGTGACAACGTGACGGGACAATGATGTGTGTGTAGACAGTGAGTAATTGATCTGCAGTCAGAGAGTATTATTGAGCACGTTCGTTGTTATAGCGTTTGTTTTAGCACGATTGTTGAAATCAAGTGTATCGTAAAGTTATATTCGGAAAGAATAAACCAGTTTTATTAAGTAAGGGCTTGTGTCGCTAAAGTTTCATCGGAACGAAGTTACGGAAAGTTAATTAACAAACGGAGATGTAACAATATATTTAGGAACAACAAGGAACCTACTGGTCCATCTAGGCTGTCCCATCCACTAAACTAAAGTAAAAATATTTAAAACAAACCTCTCAAAGCTAGCCCTTATCATTCTATATTAATCAAGCCTTCCCTTAAATTTTCCATCTCCACTACATCTGAAGGCAATTCATTCCAAAGCTAACTACCTCGTTTAAAATATAAAACTGCTTGAGCTGAAGATGACTCTTACCCTGCCAAAATTTCTATTTGTGCTCCCTAGTATGAAAAAAGATGAAGCATCAACACTATCAATTCTCTTAACAATCTTACACACCTTAATCAGATTCCCACTAACTCTTCTTATTTTTTCAAGAGAAAACAATTTCCTTGTATGGCTACCTTTCCATCCTAGGTATCATCCTAGTAGCCCTCTTCTGAACCCTTTACAACAACTTAATGTCCTTTGTAAGGTAAGGAGCCTAAGACTGAATACAATACTCCAAATTTGGCCTAACCAATGATCTATACAATGTAATTATAACCTCTTTAGACTTGTCTATAATAATAAAAGGGTGTGTCTGTGACTGCCATAACTTCAAGAAGAAAGAACCTAGAAACCTGAAATTTTTCACACACACTAAGTGGACCCTGTATGCATCTTTTTATGAGTAAAGGTAGGGAAAAACCACATAGGAAAGAATATGTGACTGCCATAGCACCAAGAGAAACGAACCTAGAAACATGAAATTTTGCACCCATACTGATGGAAAAGGTAGGAATGGACCTAAAGGTGGGAGAAGAATGGAATAAAAAGAGGAGTGAAAACATAATTAATCTCCAGAGCAGCCAAAATTGAGAGCATAATTGAAAGGACAGTAACTAAGGAACAAACATAGCAAAACCTGATCACAAAACACGTCAGAAAAACAGTGACCACAGGCCAACAATATGTGGAACAGGAACAGCAAATAAAATCAAATAATGAATCTGCCAACAAAGGTTAAAATGGAGGATTATAAAAAGCATGAAGGCCAACATGGAGGTCCAAAATTCTGGAAAGAAGCCAAGCGGGGAGTATGAGCAATGGAAAATTAACAAAATAATATAGCTAGGAAACAAGAATGTTAAACAGAAACAAAATTGGAAGACAAAAACTCCCCCAAAGCCTGCAACAAGGGAAACAGATAGGTCCCTGGTAGAAGACTAAGTGAATGAGGAATGGGAATAATGAAAGGACAATAACTTAGATGTATAGATATAGATTAACAGGAAAACATCAAAGAGGAAGGACGAACTGGATGAGAAAACTAAGAAAGCAAAATGCCCAGAAAGACCCATGTCTGAAGATGGAATGGATGGATGTCGCATGCAGGAGTGTGGTCAACAAAGGAGATGAAAGCACATGAAATGGAGGCAACACTAAAAACCATTACATAAATGGAAATCATGTGAGAGTTTGTCAAGATGGTACCGCCATCCAAACTCAACATGGAGAGATTGGAACTATTGAGAGGACACAAGGAAGAAGATGAACAGGCGAACGTGTATAGGGGGAAACAACTTGTCCAATACCAATGGAAAGCATCCCCTGAACCTGCCTAGGAATGAGGAGCACGAGACCAAAAACTGGTAAGGTGTGTACTGAGATGAGATGCAAAAAATCCAAGTTGGGTACAAACTAAAAAATAGAGGATCCAAAGACTCCCCATCAGGAAAATTCTTTGGGATGGGATAATCAATCTGCAACCAGATTCATGGCCTCTCAACAACAACATGCCCACCAGTCGATATAATGATAGTGGGCCCAAAATACAGGAGATCCAAAGTTCGGAAACAAAGGACACTCAGCCAGATACCCCCATGCATGGTGATAAAGGACCTTACCATAGAAGTGTCAGAGAGACACATCACCACCTTTTCCCAAAGGGTCAGTAGGAAGGAAAGTACTGTCCAATGAACAGCAAGAAGTATCAAGAGAGTATAGAGCAAAGTCAAAAAGAGCATCCAGAAAAAGTGACAATCCAGATGAGAAGGAAGAGGAACCCCAGCAGCAATAGAGGTTCTATCCAACCAACAGTTAATACAGACTGCTAGTGAGGAGAAAGCGTAAGAAGAGCATTCAAGAGATCCCAATCAAGACAGCATCTTGTGATCCAAATACCCACAGAGGATGACGTACGTTGGCATGACCAAGAGGAACAAGGGCTGCAAGAGAAGCCAATGTCCCCAATGTGAGTGAATTGCACATGCAATAAGGAAAGGGAGAAGATGAAAAGCCACCTAAAGGATGTACCAGAGCTCTAAACTGAAGGGGAGAAGGTTAGTCCCAACCAAGAATTGAGATGAAAAATACACCAAGAAAAACAGAAATTGACCAGGTATGATGAATGAAATCACTATCATGGTGAGCCAACCCATACAGGCAGCGTCCCAAAGAAGAAACTGAGTATGGAGAATAGATACGGGTAGTGAGGAAGCTATAACTATCCAGCTGTCCCTGGAAAAGTGTACACTAAGTTCAGAGAAGGAAACAAATGAGCAAAGGTCTAAACCATTCAGCTGAACACAGAGGGAGCCAAGGTAAGGCCTAACAAAAACACCCTAAACTGAAAACACACCCACGAAGAACAAAATGAAGAGAAATGTATGGATATCGGGGAAACAAGAATATGGAGACATGTATCTGACACATATACCTACGTCCTCCACAAAACAGGAGTGAAAACCCCTAAATAGAATGATCTCTTCACAGAAGGAACACTGGAGAAGTAAGTCATGAACCACTTCTGATTGGCATTGGGAAGAAAGGTATCCAACCAAGGGTGAATAAAAGTAGATGGTGATATAATGGGAGGGTGGGGACAAGTGGAAATGGAGTTATGGAAACTTGCTGAAACAACCCCAGTCTCCAAATAGGCAGGAAGAACCCAACACCTCGTGATAGAAAAAAGGTGCCATGCACAATGTACATAATGAAGAGGAGAGTAAGAGAATCCTAAATAAAACAGGATCTCGACCTAGAAGAACCCAACTTCATAGCAGCCATGTCAGTAAAGCGAGGTTGAAGAGGAAATGCATGCCATTGTAGCAATGAGGAAATGACTAAGGCCAATAGAAAAATGATATGATAAAACAAAAGAACCTTCCCAACCAAAAGGTGAAGGGATGATAAAACACAGACAATAATGGATAATGACATAAATGAATGGGAAAGTTCCAATATAGGGAAACACAACCGAAGCATAAGGGTCCAAACCCTACATTGGAATAAAAAAAAATCCAAAAGGTGTGAGGTGAATTATTGGTAGGTGGAACGAGAAAAGTAAAAACATGATAGGCCAACATACACAGGGACAAAGCATACCAATCCCCCAGATGCAAATGTACCCCAAAACAATGAGCACAAACCTCATTATCTGGGTAGGAAGGAAAAGCAAAGAATACCTAAAGATTAATCCCCAAAGAAGACATAGATAAAATTAACATACCTGAGGAAAAAAAAGCTACAAAGGGCGAAGAAGGCCTAGGTAAGACTCCCCCAAACTACACATGATGGAAAAGCATATTCAGGAAGGGAAAAACAAACTGCCCAAAGTCACATCCACCCATTCAGACACATTTAGGTGCTGGTATGACAGGCTACTCCACAGGTTATAAATAATGTTGCCAAAAATGGTACAATTCTTGATAGAACACAGCCATCATGCCTGCGGTCAACAACTGTGTTATCTCCCTGCAACGTGAAGGGGAAACCCATCATAGCAACAACATCAGTGTTAGTCATGACCACCCGAAGCAGTAAGTGCATAACTCACAAGGTCGAAAAATCAGAAAATGGAGAGTAGATAATGAAATTTAAATTGCAACTCTTCACTAAAAAAAGGGGAAAACGGCAGTGACTAAATTAAAAAACATTTGAAAGGAACAAATTCATGGATATAATAACTCAATCACAAGCGAAGAAAACACACATCTGTAGAGTAAGGCTGCCAATTGAGAAGTGATTAACAGGTACATTATTAGAGAGGGCACTAGTACAATAGGGAATTACCTTCACTTGTTGATAAATGGCATCAAATCAATTCTTTGAATCACAACTCTTGTAGATTGATCCTCACCAGTCAAGACCTCTGCTTCAATCATATTAATATGAAGATTTGTTGTTATAAGATGAATTCACTTTACTAAATTTCTGTTGATGTCTTAGTTTCTAATAAACAACACTGTTGTTCTTATTTCCAGTATTAACCTATGTGGTGGTAAGCCTGCAAGGGTTAAACTATTGATATAAATTGTTGGTATATTACTGTATGCATTTGGACCATCAGTGGTAATGCTGTCTTCACTAAAATAAGTTTTTGGTTCTCCTATTAAAATATTTTCACAACATCATTTTTGATTATTTTTTAAATTATATTTCTTGGACATAATATTGCCCTACATGTTTTAACATTTTCTAGTATTAACTCTTTGCAATTAAATGGCCTTCAGTTAACCACCCTTTCAATATTTCAAAACAATCTTCTTTTGTTTTCTTAGCTTATATATTAAGCATTTGTAAATATATGTTTTCCCAGTTCCTCCTGGTCCATCTATAAAAAATGTTTTAGAATCATTCTCTCCATTTACAGCAAATATAATTTCATTAATTATAATTTCATTCATACAGGTTATTGAAATATTCTTCTCTCAAAATAATTTCTTTGACCATATCTTTTTCGTTAAGCTTTTCTTTGTCCAATATATCTTCTCTGTGCAGAAGATGAATCTTGTAGTCACTGCAGTATTTACCATGTTGCATCATCATGTTTTCAACATCAATCAAGCCTAGATTCTTGGAAGTGACTAAGTCATGACTACAAGTAGGGTTTTTGATAACATCATTTTTAAGTTGGTCCCAAAGTTTTCTTGGATCTTCTGGGCTACAGAAAACGCATATATAAGGAAAAGCTTGTCTCAGTTGGTTTAGCACCTTAAAAGTTGCAACTTCCTCAAGGCATATTTCCCATTCTGTAACACCACTAGCTGCTTCTCTAAAAATAGAACAAATACTTCTAATAATGGTCTTCAAATCTTCAAATGAAACAGCTTCTTTCACATATAACAAAAGCAATATCACATAATATAATTCCTGTTGTGAGGGTCTTGCAGCATAGATAGAACCAGCGATGGTCTCTGCACCTGTTTTCTATTATTCCAAGCCTTATTGGATTTTTCCCACGTGTATTGATCCAGTATGTCCATATATGCAGAAGGATCTCTTTGATTTAAGTTAAGCCACGTGATTAATATTGTTACATAGTTAGACTCCTACATCAATGCTTGCTCTTCTTGCCAAACAACAAAATGTAATTGTTATTCCACTGGTAAATGCACAGCTGACTTGATTCAGGTATGTGATTGGCCATGCACTTTAAATTCAAAAAGCATTAACAAATCTCAATTCCAAAAATGTATTTATTTCATTCCATTCTAAATTTTCTGTTTCAATTTGTTGTTTAATTTGAATGTTTGTACAATCATAACCTTTTTAAACATATTTAAAAAAAGATACTTTACAGCTTCAATACTTATAACATTGATATGGGCATCATATTTTAAGCATAAATAGAGGTTATAAAGCATGATTCGGTGATTATGCATTTCTAATTCTTTCCTCTCTGGTTCAGAAGCAGGAGTGAGAGCATTAAAATAGTGAAATATCTTTTGTCGTATATCATGTGTTTATTAAGACATATGATTTTGGTATTAAAACAGTTAATAAAATACATCTTACAATTATACTGTGTATTTAGAAGGTACACATTTCTTAAAAGGTTCAATATTTAGATAATATATAATGAAGGCTACTTTTTTTTAGTTAATAATGTTGGTAACAAAATCAAAGCTGTAACACTGTTTGCACACTACTGTTGCTAAACCTGAAGCTGAAGGAGATTAAAGGTTTTGTATATATTGTACCCAGTTATTACCATTTTCTCCTTGCTGATTGATTAAAAGGAATTTGAGTTATGTGTTTTCTCTTGGTAATATATGCATAATCAATTTATTACTAATGTAAATGGTATCAAAATAATTAGTGCTGCTTGCATTTTCTCTATTTAAAATGGACTCAGAAAAATGGAAATTAGGTTTTCAGTATGAAATCTTTACCCTAATGGTGATGTTATAAATCTGAAAAAAATTTGGTAGGTCTCTGACACTATAATATTGTGCACTACACCACTTGGATAGCTTAACCTCTGGCTAATCCAAAACTATTCAGCTTCTTATACATCTAGATTTTTCAGAAATCATTCTTTACACAAATACTCACTATATCTTTCTTAGGAAATCCAGAGCAAAAACATAAGGTCTTATTGAAGTAATGTATTATTATAAAAACAAACTAATTTTACATTATGTTTTGATGTATATATTTTTTGACACTAACTACACTCACGCTGCATATTGATAAAGTTATTTTTAATTAAGTAGTGTAGTAAAATTGGGTACTTTTAGTACTTTCAAAATAATAATTAATTTGACCAACCCATTACTTGTGTAACCCAGATGTAAGAGGCAAAGAAAATACCTCGAAATTTGAAGAACTACTTACTATAATGTAGCCATTTTCTATATTAAAATTATGTTACTTTTCTCATATATCTTCTACATAATTCAGCACTCTTAAACATAATTTTACATTGTAAACTTTACTGACATGAGAATGAACTAATTGTTCTCTCTGCCATGCAATAATTTGGTTTCATGGACTTTTATGGCATACATTTTCTAACGAAGAGAAAACTAAAAATTGTATATTCAGTGGGCAATGTATAAATTACTGGATTAGTGGAAGTAGGTTCATGTATCATCATTTGTGTGTTATACCATGCAATTACTAACATTCTGAGGGATACCCAACATATATAAATTGAGATAATATAATAAACTTTAAATTAACGTGCCAAATGTAGAGGAAAAATAAAAGTAACAATACCTTTTATGCATTTTCTTTAAAAAACCTGCATTTAAATTAAATATACTTTGCTTTCACATGTATGAAATAATTTTGTTAAACAGGTGCTTTGTACTGAAATTCTTATAAAAGTTTACTGATGAACTTAAAATTTAAATACTTTGTTTTTACATGAAATTTACCTGTTGTGTTAATAAGCCAGGCCGCAAAGATGTCTTTCCCATCTTAGCATAGTCAGTACAGTTAGTGGCATAGGGGGGTGGTAACAGGTGTGAGATAATCTGTGCAACAGAAACACTTTGATTAAATAATACAGAAATCTAAAATAGTTTGCTAAATTAAATTTTAATCTTTAAATACCTATTTCATTTGGAAATACTTATGGAAAGATTTATTTTCCCTAAAACAAACTAAATATTTCTCTACAGAATATTGCCTAACAAGACTTCTATTTTTATTGAACTCACTGTCTCTATATATGTATACAGATAATTAACTTATATTTACAACTACACCACTAATACCCAGTAAACAACTCATGGGCCATATCAGGCTCTCAAAAACCTCATTTTTAGCCCATACTATATTCTCTGACATTTACACTTCCTGAGGGGGGTCTAAGATTAGCATAGCAATTTGACCCTATAAATTTGGAACATGACTAGTTTTTTATATTTTTCTCCAAGTTTGAATTAATTAATGCATAGAGCAGGATTTGAACTTTTACTGAGTTGCTTTATTACTAGGTATCAGCATTATAATATAGATATTACACTTTCCTCCAAGGACTAAACCCCGCAAGCCTTTCACTGAGGAGGGACAGAGTGCTGTACTCCCAAGTACTTGTCACCAGTGGCTAACACTAAAATTACAATGCTCAGATAGATGAAAGATGGAAGGCAGAAAAGTATATTTACCTTCCTGAGCAAAAATAAAATCTTAGGAAGGAAAGATTGGTCCAGGAATAGGAGTATTTAATTGCAGTGGAAAAGTGTGCAAGAAGCACAAATAGCAGAGACATCTAAATGGCAGCAAATGCAGGCAAGAAGAAATAAATCTGAATAGAAAGACAGTAGAAAGAGCAAGAAGCTAACTGTTCAAACACAGTTCAAGTGAAAGCATGCAAAACTATAGTAAGGTCTTCATCAGTTGGGAGAGGTGTCAGAGAAGGTCAAAGGAGCAGAACAGAATGAAGAGGATAGAGGAAGAAGCATCCTATGGTACTAGGAAGAGTGAAATGCAATGGAAAAGGCCACCTGATAACCAGCAGTGATGGAGACTGATAAACCATGGACTAACAACCAGGTAAAGAGGCAGAAAGATGTTTCCTAGTAAGATGCCCAAGAGGAAAGGAGTAGCAGATGGACTAATGACTAAAGATCTGCCACTCTCATTGATAGACAGACATAGTGGAAGGGTGACAGCAATGTGACAGAAAGAATGCTACATGAATAGAGAGTTTGGCCTAATGGGCAGTGGACCAGAAAATCCCAAGTAAGGATGGAGGGATGATATCCTTTGATAAAAAAAAAAGAGATATATGAGATTGAAGAAATAAAGAGGGATATTGGGTAGAGGCAGAAGAGGTCTGGATACTAAGTGAAGAAGCAGAGGAAACCAAGGCTGAGCTTGTTAAAGCAGTGTCAACAATAGGACCCCCAAAAAAGTGACACATATCAAGGTGAGGATCCAAGGGAGGAGACAAATAGGAGGATAGGCATATAAAAAAGAAGTGAGACCAGGCCTGGCTGAAAACATCAATAGCCAGAGCCAAAGGATGAAGAACAGGGCATAAGAAAGAAGAAACCTGTAGATGAGAAATGTGGCAAAGATGTCTATGTTAGGCATGCCCAGCCAAGAGCACACCAAATAAAAGACCTGTGGATGTAGAGACCAACCCGTTGGTATAATGGGGGCTGGCTGATAGAGGTAGTCCACCATCAGGTTTTTAGCTCCAGGCAAATGACAGCTGCTAATGAAGTTATAATTATGAGTGATATAAATTTCAGGCACATAGATTGGGAAATCCTAGAGTCAAACCATAAGGGAGAAAGGTTTTTGGCTTTCTTCACCAATTAGTTTGTATGTTTGTTTTGAATTTCCTGCAAAGCCACACAAGGGTTATCTGCACTAGCCATCCCTAATTTGAAGTGTAAGACTAGACGGAAGACAGCTAGCTAACACCACCCACCACCAACTCTTGGACTACTCTTTTACCAACGATTAATAGGATTGACCATCACATTATAATAACCCCACAGCTGGAAAGGCAAGCATTTTTGGTGGGATAGGGATTCGAACCAATGACCGGCAGATTGCAAGTCAAACACCCTGCTCACCTGGCCATGTCAGGCCTCACCAATTAGTCAATGAACTTACTAGAAACAATGCTATTTTACATTTATTGTTAATTTAAAGTATAGAAATGATCGAGAGGGTGAAAATTGGAGAATGTCTAGGTGCAAGTGGTCATTGCTCTATTAGGTTCAATGTTTTGCTGCATATGGAGATAAGGAATAATGATATTTTGGTTACAAATTTCAAAGGGATGCAAAAAGAATTATCTGTTCTGAATTGGGCAGCTGAATTCTTTGGAGACACTGATCAGATG